AGCGTGCAGAACAACCACCCAATAAAGCATTACAATAATCTAACCTTGAGGTCAAGAACGCATGAATTAACATTTCTGCATTTGACATTGAGTCTCACTGAACTCTTCAAACTCTGCTGTTTCTCATTCCATCAGTGCTTTTGAACGGACGGCGGTTAAACACCCTGCAGGTACAGTATGTGAGGTCTGTTTGTAAATGACCTTTGACCTCTCTGTGGCTCTGATGATCAGTCCCCCCGCTACACACTGCACTACCGCGCAGACGCTTCGCTCAACATCCGCAGCATCTTCTACGTGCCGGAGATGGTGAGTGTCAGACGACAGCTAAAGGCCCGTTCACACCAAGAACGATAACTATAAAGATAGATAACTATATTAGCGTCCACACCAGCGGAGGGTATTGTTTGTTTATTCTAAGCACACACTTGTCTAGCGCTTTAAATTCTCGAGCTCGTGTCAGTGGCGGTAGCTTCATGGGCAGCACACCGACATATGGTGCAGTTGTGCTTTGGGTGTCCCGAGTTCGAATCCTGCCTCGTGGGACCTTGCAAGAAAACAGGCCTTAAATCGGCCAAATATGCAGTAGTATAACTTAGTCTTATTAAAGTAGCTAAACCATTATATTTGACATTATTTGAAACCCATTGGAATTTTACCCTTTCAGTTCACAACATCTCTGCAGGTCACCTGTCAAATATTTCTTAATATTATAAAATTTTGCCTATTAAACATATTATTTAACTCAATTTAACTAGAAAATTACATTTCAAAACTGAAGTTATGATTTTTAATTTATATGCAATTAAATGCATTTATTTAAATTTAGAGCGTACTTAAAAAATTGCACACTTTTATGTAGTTAGTTTAAAAATTGCACATAAATGAAAAATTACATTATACATATAAAAATGTTAAAAAGTAAATTAATTAATTTAAATTAAATTATTAAATTAATTTACCTGTTACATAATTTAACAACTGAAATATGCATTTAAATGCAATTCAATTTATTTAATTAAATTTAATTACAGTATGTACTTAATTAAAAAAGTGCATATACATCATTCAAAAATAAGTATTTACATATTTTAAAGTTACATTATACATAAAATGCTATTATTTTAAATTAATTAGCCTGTTAAATCATTTAACTACAAAAAACTCAAATATGCATAATTGAACTTATTTGAATTGTGCATTTCGTTTCTATACTTTTTTTTTCTTTTTTCAATATTTTACTTAGTATTCAGTGGTGTATCTGATTTTTAACTCACAAATCACTCTTCTTTCTTCCTACATAATAAAAGAAGTAACTCAAATTAATATTTCACATCCATTTACTTGGTAATCAGCCATGTAATAAATCCTAATGACTCTTCTTGTTTTGCGATGAACGCACTCGTACAGAGAGTCACCAACATCAAGGTAACCACATGTACATGCAAAAAAACACAAAAACTAAATTACTTTCTCATTCATTTGCTTCTACTCACATCAAAAAACTATACTGATTGTGTAGCAAAGATTGTGTAACTTTTAGTAAACATCAGTCAAAAAGCAACTATATTTAAAAAATTGCATGTACATACTATGAAAATATAAAGTGTTTAGATAATTAATTGCATTATACATGTATACAAAATATTTTTTACATTTTTAATTAGCCCGTTACATTTAACAAAATATAATTCGTTTTAATTTTTTTAGTATTCAGCAGATATATAATTTTAAAGTAAAAATTGCACTATACACATTACACATAATTTTAACTTTAATTAGCCTGTAACTCTGTTTAACAGTCTCAAATATGCATTATTTTAAATTTATCCAAAATGGAGTGATGTGCATTAACTTTCATTTTATGTATATTTTTTTCAGTTGTATATTTTATTTAGTATTAGTGGTGTCTGATTTTTACCTCACAAATCACCTTTTTCTTACATATAATTATCCAAATTAATATTTAACGTCCGTTTATATATTATTTAACAACAATATAAATTAATATGCATTCATTTAATATATACATACATTTTGCAATTATGCATTTCATTTGCATACAAATGAAAACAAATTTACATTCGTTTTTCATAAGTTTGTCATTTCTCTATAATAATTTAATCTCTTATCAATATTTCATTTATTTGGTAATCAGCCTTGTAATAAATCCGGACCACTCTTTGTATTATGATGATGATCGACATGGTGCTTAATTGTAAATGCTCAGCCATTTACATAATTTTGCTAATTCAAACAGTGATTTTTACCCACAAATGTGTGGAAACCTGACAACAGTGATTATCTTTATTACCATTAATTTACCAATGTTTCCACAGGTGACCCCGCGTCTGGACACACACCCCGCTATGATCACGGTGCTGGAGATGGGCGCCGCTCGACACTTCCTGCGCACACAGCAGCTCGCCCGCAGCTCAGAGGAGAGAGCCCAGATCCTGCAGCCCACACTGGAGATCAATGCTGGGTACGAGACGGTTAACATTAACTTTAACACTCCAGTCGAACACAAGTAATCAATCTGACAGTTTGCATGAAGACAAAACAGTCCAGTGTCTCCAGAATAATGTCCTTACAGTGAGAAAACACAGTGTTTTATTGCTGATGTGTCTTTAAGGAATAGTTCACCCAAAAATGAAACATTTCTGAAAATATACTCACCTTCAGGCCATTCAATATGTAGATGAGTTTGTTTCTTCATCAGATGTGGAGAAATGTAGCATTACATCACTTGCTCAGCAATGGATCCTCTGCAGTGAATGGGTGCCGTCAGAATGAGAGTCCAAACAGCTGATAAAAACATCACAATAATACACAAGTAATCCACACCACTCCAGTCCATCAGTTAATGTCGTGAAGCGAGAAGTTGCATGTTTGTAAGAAACAAAGGCGTTTTAACTTAAAACCATTGCTTCTGGCCAAAATACGAGTCCATAATCCTTAATAACGCTTCCTCCAGTGAAACAGTCCATCTCTTGTTTTCCTTTCACATCAGAATCAACCCACATATTTGTTTAGAGCTCTTTTGGACTGTTTTCACTTTTAAACGGTGCTTGATCTGTGCATGTTTCTCACCTGACTTCACTCTGAGACTTTTTTTTTTTTTACTGGAGAAGGCAATGTTAGGAATAGAGAACTTGTATTTTAGCCAGAAACAACAGTTTGAAGTTAAAACACATTAATGATGGATTTGTTTCTTACAAACGTGCAGCTTTTTGCTTCAGAAAATGTTAATTGATGGACTGGAGTCATGTGGATTATTGTGATGTTTTTAACCAGCTGTTTGGACTTATATATAGCATATTTGCATTGTAGAAATGCTGTGGTTTCTCTAACATCAAGCGTTTGTTTGCAGACATGATCTGATCAAGAAGCTTCATGCACTGAAGGACTCAAACCCTGAGCTGGCACAGCTTCTCCTCGAGCAGGTAAAGAAACCGTTTCCCCCACTCTCTCATCTCAATCCTATCTCTAATTAAAAACTACATGCCATTTTTACATACCAGATATATGACAACGCCATGATCACCGCTGGTCTGAACGAAGACCCTCGTCCGATGATCTCGCGGCTGAATCAGCTCCTCACTCAAGCTCTGGAGAAGCACTGACACCTGTGCTGGAGTTCAGCCTGACGGACTTGTTTTGCCTTTATTAGAGCCACGCATGGATGCACAAAGGGGGCGTCCCGTGCATCGGAGGTCATCATCGCACACTAAACACAAACAAACGTTGTTTATATGAAGACTTGAGAATCTTTGTGCAGGTGTGACATTGTCGTTTTAGTGGGAGTTTTGTTTGCAGCGAGAACTGCACTCCTGAATTTACCTGAAAAGATGCAAGAGATACTGGCACAGCAAGAAGAAGAATCCAGTGAAACATGCTAAATATTGATATTTCTTGTACCTTTTTGCTCGAAAATTATTCACATTTCAGTCCATTGATTCTGTACTTTAACAGGTTTTCCATATGTAAATTGAAATTAGCCTGAGGAAAATATTAAATAAAACAAACATGAAGTGTCTCAAATGCTTTTCACCCATTTTTCAATTACAAAACCTCTAATGAAATGGGTTAATGTTTTGATTTATTAAAAGGATAAAGCATAAATAACCATGCTTGTGCTTCCTTAACGTCTCATCAAAAATATTACAATTTCATAAACGCAAAAGAAAATCCGTCTTAGCTAAATGTGATAATTTCCAAATGGGAATCGAGTGCGCTCAGAAATGAAGTGCGCCACGCTCTTCGCTGCAGTTGCCTCGTTCAGACAGCAGGCGGCGCAGTGACTCCAGTGATGAGCACATACTGTGATGGAGGTAAAACAGCCAGTTATTAGTCACGCATTTACAGTAATCATGTGGATTCTAGTTCACCTTACTGTTAAGAATATGAAGGCGAAAAAACTCCTCAAATGCTGTGTAGTTCTTCGTGTTAACTCTACATTTTCAGGCAGTTTAGACAAAACTGATCAAATAATTCAAATAACATTTCTAATTTTAGACGTTGTTTTATCATCATTGCCATCAATAGCTTTAAAAAAAAAATGCTCCTGCGGCATGGCATGAATTTTTAAACGCACAAATATTCCAGGTAATCATTAAATTAATTTGAGCTCATAAATGATGGGATTACAAAAGAATGAACGAAATGCTGTTTTAAATAACTTTAGATGGAGCTTAGGATGTCACAACTGGCCAGTTTCTTATAAACTATTTTTTGTAATTCAAAAAAAGAAAAGAACAAAAAAAGCTTCCGTGTGCATGCAACAATTCAAAAAGGCCACATAGCCTAAAAAACTTACCCATAGAGTTACTATGGGTCGTTCACACTTGCGTTTAAAAACACAAAGCAGCGATGAAGAATGCAGGGTCTCCAGGCACGTTTTGAACCCGTTTAGAAACGGTGTCTTAAAATGTGGCGCAACTGTGAGACCATAGCTCATGTTTACGTAGAAAAACAATAGAATGCAGCGCGACCGAACGCAAAACGCGTTCTGTGTGATGAATCGAGTTCTGAAAATCTGTGAAGTGCTTCCACCGTGGGTAGCATATCTTGCAGGACGAACTCATTAAAATGACGCAAATATAGTGTGTAGGCACAGCTTAAATCGTCAAATGCATCAAGCGCCAACAGTGAACCGTTTCAGCATTTGTATCAAGCCGTTTGTTGCGTTCCGGAACACACAGAACTAGTACGAGGTCACGTACACACTGCAAACTTGCAAGAGTGTGACAAATGCATTTAAGTACAGCATTTGCATCCCCCAAGAAATACAGGGGTTACTTTAAGATAATTAACGCAGTAATACCTAAAATGTTTGACTTCTCACAGCTGTAAACTAGCGACACGGCGTTTGATGGATGTGTTTTTGACCAGTGACATTAGACAGTTGTATGGAAGCCCATTTCCGCTATGTGATGAATCGAGTTCTGAAAATCTGTGAAGTGCTTCCACCGTGGGTAGCATATCTTGCAGGACGAACTCATTAAAATGACGCAAATATAGTGTGTAGGCACAGCTTAAATCGTCAAATGCATCAAGCGCCAACAGTGAACCGTTTCAGCATTTGTATCAAGCCGTTTGTTGCGTTCCGGAACACACAGAACTAGTACGAGGTCACGTACACACTGCAAACTTGCAAGAGTGTGACAAATGCATTTAAGTACAGCATTTGCATCCCCCAAGAAATACAGGGGTTACTTTAAGATAATTAACGCAGTAATACCTAAAATGTTTGACTTCTCACAGCTGTAAACGAGCGACACGGCGTTTGATGGATGTTTTTTTACCAGTGACATTAGACAGTTGTATGGAAGCCCATTTCCGCTATGTAAAAATGTTTTGGTAAATCATAATTTATTGAAAAAAGTCATAATTATGAGAAACTAATTCACAATTATAATATAAAGTCACAATTGCAACATACCAAGTAATACTGGATGCCATAAAAAAAAAAAAAGCACTGACATGTCAAAATTTACTAAATTTGACATTGCAATTGACTTGTGTCATTAAAGTATAAAACTTATGTTTTTATGTTACAATGACTTGTTACTGTCCAACAGTTATCAGTAAAGTTGCTAATTAACAATTAGTAAAAACAGCCACAGAGGCATTTAAACATACCATTTTCTGTAGTGAAGTGAAGACATGTAGCCTACCTCAGTTTCTGTGATTTCATTCAGCACTCCTCAGCTGTTAGTGTGCAGAAAAGTGACGGTCAATGCATTAACAAGCCACGTACACAATATGTGGGTTTAATGAAAAATGCAATTGTAATTCCTGTAAATCGGATTAAGCACGCAGTAGAGGAGCAACGACCATATTTCGTTTTTGAGCTGTAGTTGTTTTTGCTTGCGACTGGTTTGTTAGTCATCTCTTGCTCAGGATCGCTCGTAGCAGGGTTTCTCTCACCAGTGTGCATGGAGCTACACTTGCAATAGAGCAATTGCATTTTCACTCAGAAACAAAACTATAAACATGCCACATTTTGACAAACATTTACATTTTTTTTTTTGTGCTAAATTACTAATTACGCAATACCACACTTGCAATCATTGGTCGGAATGAGATTACCTGCAGTCCAATCACAGCAGTGCTTAAATTTAGAGACGTCATGTTCATGATAAAAAAATGCAACTTTTATAAATTTGATCACATCCAAACCTGTAAAATGAACCAAATGCAGTGTGCTCAGAAATTGTGAATTGCAGAACAAGGGCTCTAAACTGCAGTGGCACCGTTCAGGCACCAGGAGGTGCAGTGAAGCCAGTGGTGAGCACACACTCCAATCTCATGCTGAAGAAAGTAAAACGGTCAGTAAGTTAAACTTCTGTGGCACATTTAATAATTGCATTTCAAATGTAATGTTCTGGTACATGCACTTCTCCCTTAGATCAAGCGAATCAGAAATGAAATAAAACCTAAATAGTTCTATAAATAAATCCTACACTGCCCTTTTAGATCTAAAAGAAAGAACTGTGAAATGATTTTAAGGATAAGGAATCTAATCAAATATATGTTTTCAGGGAAAAAAAAATAGGTGATGACAATCTTGACAAAATCCAGAGAAACGGATCCATGCATTTCCCAATCATAGAAACAAAAAAAACCTCAATTCAATTAATTAAACAACTAGCTCTGGTCCACTAATTGTTTGAAATTGCACAGGCTTTATGTGAAAACAGTCAGGTGTTAGTTTAAAACTCATGCATATTAATTACCTAAAATCAGAATTGCGAAAGCGCGCAAACCAAGTCACCACAATGGTTGCATCTGTTGCACACAGTTTATTTAACAATATGGTATATAAGTACGAAACAAGTTCTTAACCAGTTTATACAGCGATCTCAATCTTTTTTCCTTTTATTTACAGTATGTCATCAAGCTGCATGATTTACATTAAAGAATCGTTCACCTTCAATTCAAGTTTCATGAGGAGAAAAACAAAAGAGGTTGACTGAAGAACTCTTTGAACAAATCAGCAGTCAGACGAAGCTCCGGCCTCATACGCGAGGGGTGGAGGGGACATCATTGATGTTTCAGAGATCAAACGAGGAAAAACAGGAACATCTTCCTATATCTTAAGAGACAACTACTGAATCCAGGCCAATAAATTAACGCATTTGGGCACCTTGAAAAATAAGAGCAACTTTCACAATTTGCTCGCGTGTTCGTGTGTGTTCGCGTGTGTGTGTGTGTGCCGTAGCCAAGCTCCTTTCTGTACAAATGAATACAGGTCCTCTGTACAAACTCCACAGTTTGGAGAGAAAAAAGGCGGCGCGTCCTTTTCCAAACCTGGTAAATGTGAAAACGTATCAGACAGGAATGAGGATTGCTCCTGATCCTAATTCCACACCGAGTATCTTACAGTCCCTAAACACGCACACACACTCAAAAAAAAAAAACACAAAAAAACGCATTTCAGTTTGCAAACATACAAAACGAAAATCCTCAATAATAAAATCAAATATTTTGCCTTGAGAAATTCCATTTAAAAAGTCCATATGCTCAAAATAACCCCCTCCCCGAAAAACAAATGAAAAAAAAACAAAAACAAAACAATTAAAAATGTAACTCGTAGACCAGGACTGCATTTTGGCCGGTCCGACAACCCTCCCAGAAAAATACCCTTTGTGATTCTGCTCTTTAAACAGTAATTTCAATCCCTCCAACAGGGAAGAAAAAGCAGTCCACTGGTTGTGTAAACCTATTACAGTTCATTTTGTCGCCTTTAATTTCCTGTGTAGAAAACACACCTCTCTCCTCAAAAAGAACCTCACTTAATGCTACAATCCCTCGACGAACTTCTCTAACGTGTCTCCCGATGTGTCCCCAACCATACTCATCTCGTTGGGAAGCCCTCCACGGTTTGGCGTGTTAAGCTGCGGAAGCATTGCACTCTGTTCGGGTGTGCACAGGTGAGCCTGGTCCATGGGGCCCGGCATGGGTCCCGCCATGCTGGGGTGGGACGCGCCGGAGTGCAGGGGCGAGGGCTGGGGCTGCATGCGCGGGGACGGGCTGGAATGTGGTGGCTGTTGGGACGGGGGGCGGGGCGATTGCACGGGTGCAGGCGACCTCACTTGGTTGCCCAGCGCATTGGCCATGGCCTGTCCGGGCAAGTGAGCTCCCTGCGGCTGTCCTGCAAGCATGTGGTGTTGGGGACTCATAGAAGCAGCCTGAGCCGGCGATCCCATTTGCTGCTTCAGCATCTGCTGCTGTTGCTGCTGCAGCATGCGCTGTTGCAGCATGTTCTGCTGGGCGTCCATGCCCATGCCAGGCTGGCCCATCTGAGCCATGGGCGGCATCTGACCCATGGGCCCGGCGCCTCCCTGCATGGCCATCTGCTGCTGCATGCGGATTTGCGAGTAACTGGCCGCGCCTTGAGGTTGTGGGAATCTCCCTTGTCCTGGAGGCATTGCTCCCTGTTGTTGCTGTTGCTGCTGCATGCGCATTAGTTGCCGGCGGAACAGCTGCTGGTTTCCGTTGTGTGCAGCGTTCATCATCTGTCCCTGGGATCCGAGAGCGGCCATGGCTTGGGTTGCGGCCGGTTGTGGCTGCTGAGGCGGCATGACGGGTCTCTGCACGGGGCCGGTTTGCATCGCAGTCATGTTCTGCATTCCCGGCTGAGCTGCGAGCATGGCCTGCGGGTTCTGCTGCTGTGGTTGGCTGGCTTGGTACTTCGCCGTCCGCTGTTTGATAAACGCCGCCATGAGATGCGGGTTAGATTTGAGGATGTTGAGGACCTGCTGTTGCTGCTGAGGGGAACTTGGTGATTTTAATGTGCGCAGCAGGTCCTGCAGCGCTCCTGGAGCGATGCTGCTGGCCACCACTCTTTGCTGCATGCCTTGCTGCTGCGGGGCCTGTGGTTGTGCCTGCTGGGGAGGCATGACGGCCTGCATCTGCCGCGGCTGCTGCTGCTGCTGCTGTTGCTGCATCATGGCGCGCTGCATCATTTGCGCCTGTTGCGGCGTCTGCACTACCTGAGACTGCTGCGGGGCCATGGCCATCTGCTGCGGCGGCACTTGCTGCGTCGGAGGTGCCTGCGGATTCTGCATGGACCCTTGCATCCCAGCTGGCCACTGGCCAGGCTGCATGTTCTGAACCATCTGAGGACCACGAGGGGCCATCATCTGCATGGGAGTCATCATGCGAGGTTGGTTCATCTGCATGCCATTCACACTCATCCTGTAGTCTTGCTGCTGCTGTTGTTGTTGCTGTTGTTGTTGCTGTTGTTGTTGTTGCTGTTGTTGCTGTTGCTGCTGTTGTTGCTGCTGTTGTTGTTGCTGCTGCTGAACTTTGGTCATCATCTCTATTTGTTTCGCAACCTTCAAAGCCTGCTGCTGCTGCGGAGAGGGCTGCGGCTGCTGTTGAGGCGGCATGGGCAGGGGGGACTGCTGCTGGGGCAGAGGCGAGGACTGCGGGCCTGACTTACCCTGTGACCCGGGCGTAGGCGGTTGGTTGGGGAAGGGTTGCACCATTGCAGCCACATTTGGATGCGTCTGCTGGGGCTGGTTGGCTAATGCCTGCGAGGTCTGAGGCGTATTAGGCTGCTGCAGCTGCTGAGAGTTGGGCGTCCCCGGACCTCCTGAGGTAGTTGGGGAGGGCAGACTGGGCGGCATTCCTCTGCCCTGCATGAGTGCCATGCGCCGGCGCATCATCTGCGCCTGCTGCAGCCGCTGCTGAATCTGCTGCTGCCGCAGCTTGTGCTTGATATTGAGACAGAAGGGCACGGGGCACTTGTTTTCCTGGCAGTGCTTGGCATGGTAGCAGCACAACGCGATGAGTTGCTTGCAAACGGGGCAGCCTCCGTTGGTCTTGCGCTTGCAGCCCTTGGTGTGCTGCACCACTCTCTTCATCTTCTGACAAGATGGCAGAGAGCAGTTGGCGTTGCGGCACTGGCAGGCATGCACCAGCGACTGGATGCAGCGTTGGATGCTGAGGCGTCGACTCTCCTGTGGGCTCTTGTTGGCCTCGCCGCCCTGGTTGCTGTCGTCATCCAGGCCCAAACCCCACTTCACCATTTGGTGCTCATGGCCCTTGGAGTTGTAGCAGTTAATGCATAGATCAAAGTCCTGAAAGAAATCAGAAGAATTATTTAGTTTTTTTGGATAATCATAGCATAGAATGTTAATTTACTGCTGCATGACTGGAGATTGATGTTATATTTACAGGTGGAGATACAGTTGTCAAGGAAGGTTTGCTCCTTGAGAGGTTTAAACTTACAACCTACTAGTTTAAACCTTAGATCTTGATAAATTGGCGATAAAATAGTACCATATCTGTTTTTAAAAATCAAACAATGGGAGCAAACAAAGGCAAGAGACTCAACTGCTGCACAAAGAGAAGACTGACCTCGCAAACGGTGCAATGCCAGCGTGTCTCAACGTGGTGCTTGCATTCGTTGCAAGTGTACACAAATCGGTCTTGGCCCTGATTGTGTAGCTCCACCAGCATGCACATACTGCTCCATTTGCAGCGGCGTAGGGAACTGAACTCCCAGTGTTTGTCCCTGGCCAGTGTTAGGAAGGCATCACGGCCGTCCATCAGATCGCAGGTCAGCATTGGGTCAGGATCCATTATCGGAGGCAGGGTATTGATCACTGGACCAGCATGCAGGTGGATCACGAAGAAAACCTGGATTTTAGGAAACGAGAGGGTTTCTGGTCAGCACTTGGCACATTCAGAGCAAAACAAATGGTATTCAAGTAAAAAAAAATAATAATAATAATTAATGAGTCAGGTCCAACCTCTTTGTGCTTCTCCATTGTTGCATATAGCTTCTGGGACAGATCATTAGCTACATTCGGCATCCCAGGCTTCTTTTTGTTTGCGCGGCTCATGCTGCTCTTATTTTTGTTGGTCTTTTTATTGTTCTTCTTTTTGGCGTTCTTGCTGTCAGCTTGGGTTCCCTGTGGAAAAAGAAGACATTTAACAAATGGCTACAGACTACACTAAATACTCATTCACACTATTTGTCTTTCTGACTAACCTCTGTTGTCTCAGAGGAGGCTGTATTCTCCTCCTTCTTCCTCTCCTCCTCCTCTTGCTCCAGCTCCTTGATGCTTTCCTCCAAAACATTGGGCCAAAAATCACCCTCAAAATAGGGCAGCTCGTAGGCACTTGTAAGCCGGTCCTCTGTGGCCTGTTTAAATATGTCCTGCACAACACAAGTGAGTCATTTTGTGAGTCATGTGTCAGTGTGATGTTAACCCATTGTGAATGAAAACTAACAGACCGTGAATCCATTAAAAACAAATTGGCATAGGCATACCTTGTAGTCATGGATGATTCTTTCTGCAAAGGCTTTGTCCAGCATTTTGCGGTACCACTCCTGCAGTCTTTTAGGCTTGGGAATCTTCTGATCAGGAGGGTGACAGTGGAAGATGTAGTCATCGCCTTCACTAGGTGGGCAAGCCCAGATATGACCAGTCACATACCTGTAGGTGGGAAAAATCAAATCCATTAGTGCATAACCCTACCAATGCCATGGACCTTTTTCACATTTCCAGGTTTCTCAGCAGCGGAAGTCGTCATAGTTGGGTTAACTTCAACAGCACTGAATGGGAGAGGACCACAAATAAATTTTTTGCATTCCCATTTGCTCAAATAGCAAAAGAAAAACTCCACAATAGTGTTTATGACTTTCAAAAAAAAAAAGGGGGGAAAAAAATGAGAGACTGATAATGACAGTCAGAAGATAAAACGATGTTAACTTTACTGTCCCTCCCATAGACGCTGCATTAGAAACACCCTTGCATTAGCGTTAACTAATTGTTTGTAATTTGATGCAAAGGTGATATGATACAAAGTATAGTGTTATTAATGTACATACATAAAAATACAAAAAATTAAATATAAAAAACTTTCGAGGATTTACCATTAAACACGTCATCACAGTCTTGGTTTTTGTTTGGGCAAATAACTTATGAATGGCTTATTTATAGTGGACTTGTCATTTTAAGACCAAAAACAATTATGCATATTATATTTCAACTTCAAGGTGGTACTTACCCTAGTTTCTTAACATACTCCAAATAACCAATGAGAATTTCATGGTAAACTGCAGTTCTTAGCAGCCGAGGTTTGAAGAAGTGAATACTGTCAAGATATGATATGTATACCCGTCTGGAAAGAGGAGTAAAATGACAATTCGTCAACATAGCCTGTTCAAGATGCAATTTGTTACTTTCTTTCCATTGATCAGTATTTGCATGGTACCTGGTGTTAGGAAAGGGACAATCAGATCCATATTCTTGGACATGCATGCCGAAGAAACACACATCCGCTCCATCGATCTCTTCAAACGCAAAAAGTGCTTTGGTTCTGTAGGGAAAGCTTTCTACCATCTCTCCTGAGTCAACAAACCTGCAGAGAAATGATGTGATGCAAAATCAGCTCCTTTCAATTCCTTGTACATGCCAGACTTTTTTGTCAACATGAATTCAAAATTTAACCAATTTACTTTTTAAATGACTTCAATAGAATCTATAGAACTATACTCGTATTCATTCTCTGTGACGTTACCTGGATTTCATCCCAGGTTTGATCTCCACGGTCTTATCAGAGCTGGCGACCACCCGTACAAACACCTCTCCGGCCTCAGGGTGATTCTGCCTCTTCAAGTACTTGTTCACTCGGTCCTCGATGTACGAGCCCAGTCTCGTGCACTGTAACCCTGATCAGAAAAACACAGAGGGTTACTTCACTCTGCAACAGACAGAGAGGCAAGCAGGAAGACGCTTCGAAAGCACTCACTTTTAGCAGAAAACTTGTTTTCCTTTCTTGTTTTCCCTGACTTCTTCAGGCAGTTGTCACAGATGAAACTGTTATAGGAAGGAGAGACAAACAAAGCAGCTGTAGGATCATGTCATGCTAAACTCTTCAGGAGAATAGTAGGATAAGACGCTTACCCTGATGGCCAGATGACGTCATAATGTAGTACGCAGATTTGATGCATCTTCCGGCCACAGTCTTTACATTCAACAAAGCTGTTAGACAGAAGGTGGTGTTAAAAACTATTTTGACAAGAGTGGATAATTCGTCACACTTTCACAGTATTTGCATACATATTCATTAATATATATACTATTCGAATAAAGATAAAAGAAATTACAAGCATTAAAATGACGAAACTTACGGCTCAGGGTCCAACATGTCATTTTTCTTCTTCTCAAACTGCTCCTTTGATATCATACTGCAGAGAGACGTACAAGATAAATTCTACCTTCATACATGCACAACTCATTTTTAAGTATAAATTGAGTAATTTAACAAAGAAAAACCTTAAAGCCTTCTGGGCGGCAGAAGATACGTACGTCTGCGGCTGGGCTGGGTCGTCTCCCAGGGTGACACTGTCGCCCTGAATCTCGTTGAAGCACTTCTCGCAGAAGTGATACCTGTCGGCAACAAGGCCATATTTGGGTGAACTGGAGCCAGCACACAAGAGCACAGGCAAACCGGCACACGGAGAGCAGCACAGCACAAGAGCGCAGAACGCAGGGTCAGACAGAGATTGACACATCGCAAACAGGCCAAGGCAGAGCACAGGTTAGCATTCAAACTCACAAATGAACGTTAAATTTAAAAAAATGATGGATAGCTACAGGATGGTATGTCCTTTCATGCACTAGAAAGTAACCACATGCCTTTTCTGATTTGATTTTAAGAACAAATTAAACGAAACGAAGACAATGTGATGAGATGAGAAACATGCACTAATGCCAGTTATGGAAAAGTGATGCACCTGAGCTTTTGCAGGCACATAATTTCTGTAATACAATAACAATTAAGGCTGCGAGATTTGGGGCAAAACATTTAATTTTTCTGATTAAAAACAAAAATTCTAGGTCTGCAGGGCTACACAGTACTGAAAAACGGTGATTATATATCAAAATGGCTATAAAATAATAGTAATTATTATTATTACTGTTACTAAAGAAAAATCTAAAATTGCTAAACAAGAAGAAAATAAATATTACTATTGTGATATTTCACTGTTAAAATAAAGTATTTAATAAAAATAATACAACAATGATTTCACTTTACAATTGTAAAATTACAAAAACATTTATGGATGTCTTCATTTCTTCATTTTCAAACACTGACCATCGATTACAAGAACATGCTTCACCCTGAAACACGCAGTGAGTGAAGTGAAGTGACATGTGGCCAAGTATGGTGACCCATACTAGGAATTAGTGCTCTGCATTTATCCCATCCAAAGTGCACACACACAGCAGTGAACACACACACACCGTGAACACACTCCCGGAGCATTGGGCAGCCATTTTTTGCTGTGGCGCCCGGGGAGCAGTTGGGGGTTCGGTGCCTTGCTCAAGGGCACCTCAGTCGGGGTATTGAAGGTGGGAGAGAGCGCTGTACATTCACTCCCCCCACCTACAATCCCTGCCGGTACGAGACTCGAACCCGCAACCTTGGGTTACGAGTCCGACTCTCTAACCATTAGGCCACGACATATATTTAATTAAAATGCAGCCATTGTGATTTGATAATCACACAAACTTTGGTTTTATTCTGATTAACTGTGCAGCCCTAAAGACTACTGCCTACTAAGTTTTCAGGATTTACACAAATACTAGTGGGCTGGTGGGAGGAACAGCCTAGTAGGCGAAGATCTAGACTTGCAAACTGAGAAATTCAAAACCCACAACGATTGACCCACAAAGTATTACCACTGTAACCTAGAGCAAGACGCTTAACCTTTGAACTTGCTTTTATGACTCCGTTTATAAGGTGCAAACAACATGGAGTCAACTTGGCACTAAAAATCTCAAGCATGATCTCAGTGCATCACAGTCCCACTTGGAAAGTCATTCATCACCTTCTCATTTCTCACACCACTGATCATGCCATTGGTTACCTGTTTTGGTAGCTATAATATGTGCCGTCTCTGGAGATAGTACAGAGCTGTTTGCCATAGCAGCAAAGCGTCTGAGGTGAAAACTCGTTCTGTGGAGACAGAGAAAAAGCAATTCTGTTAAGAGCAACTTATTTAACACAGACTGCATATAGACTGCAGACTGCAACAGACTGCAGACTGCAACTTATTTAACACAGACATGATATTTTAGTTCTTTTTTATTACCTACCTACTATAGTATTATAATATTTTGAATTTGCTTTTATATTTATATTTCCTGTTTTCATTTCTAGTGTAAGTTATTTTGTTATTTTTTTAGCAATTCACCAAAATTAACTGAAATTAGCCAAAAACAATTATTAGATTTTTTTTTGATAATTAAATGTATTAATAATCAAATGTATTTCATACAACACTCAAAATAAAAAAATTAGTTATTATATCAACATTTTTATATTTCAGCTTAAACTCAACCAAGGCAACATTTCTCATTTTTGTTTCAAGTATCTAAATTTCTAAGTTTTTCATCCAATATTTTATTTCAGCTTTATTTAAATAATCAAAAAAAAATTTAACAGCTTTACATGACGTGAACAATACCAACACTGAATTGCAATCAAAAAATATCTAGAGAAGTTTGATTTTAGAGGAGTTTGAGCTCATGTGGAGGATTCATCTAGCTAATCACTCTTTTCCTAGAGTAAGAAGCTCAAGTTCTTACCTTGCGCCCACAGCAGTATCCCAGACTTTGCATGACGGGGTCAATTTCCTGCTCGAACACCTCGGACAGCTTCGAGCAGTACTTGTACACTCGTGATGTTTTGCGGTTGTAGAGCCAGGCGTTGTTGAACATCAGCCAGATGTCGTCAACATACTGCCAGGGCTCCTGGTACTGCCCAGTGTCCAGCTTCCTCTTGATGGTGGAAAGATCGATTGGGTTCTTTACAATGTCAAAGTAGTCCTGGGAAAAGAAAAAAACAACAACAATCAAATATTTTAACAATCAAAGCTTTTATTGATATTTTTGAACTCAGCAGCATTAAACTGGCTAATACTAGACAAAAATCTGCTTTTTGGGAAGATGCGGGGCTGATTTATTTAATACATTTAGAGCATTTAAAGAGATATATATAAACTATTAGCCAAATAAATAGGTGTATGGGATTTACCGGGATGCCCAGGAGAGTGGGATCCACCGGCTGGCGGAAGGGCAAGGACTCTGGGTCTTGACGATACAAAGCTTCTAATGTAGGCATCAGCGCCTGTCTGAGCTCCTCTGGCTTGAAAACTGTAACAAATGATAATGTTATGTGATTAATGAAGTTGCAGATATCACTAAATGCGGTTTCAATGTTTTCAGAAAAACGTTTGTACTTTTCTTGCGTGACTGGGCGGATTGACCGGATGGTGTGGTGCTGTTGGTGCTGGACATATCCTCCTCTTTCGGCTCGGTCTTTATCTCTGGTTTCTTCTCCTCTGTCTCCATCGGTTCCTGTTTAGGTTCTACAGACTCTGGCTGCTCTTTTACTTGAGGTTTGACATCTTCATCCTAATGAACAACATGAATTATGTTTAGATGTTTACTAAAGACTGTGTCATTAGACTTGAGTCACGAGACAATGAAATATTAGGAAACTAGAGAATGAATTCTGCTCACCGAGGTTGCATGTTTTTGATCAAAAATACAAAAAAAAAAAAAAAACTTGAAATATTATTACAATTCAAAATAAGTTTTCTATTTGAATCTATTTTCAAACGGTCATTTATTCCTGCGATGCAAAGCTGAATTTTCAGCATCATTATGTCACATTATCCTTCAGAAATCATTCTAATATGCTGATTTGCTGCTCAAGGAAATATTTCTTATTATTATCAATGTTGAAAACAGATGTGCAGCTTAATTCTATTTTCAGGATTCTTTGAATAGAATCCTTAGAATGAATTGAATGACCAGAAAGTTCAAATGAACAGCACTTGTTTAAAATAGAAATCTTTTGTAACAAATGTCTTTACTGTAACTTTTGATCAATTTAATGCCTCCTTGATGAATAAAATTTCTTACTAATATTAATATTAATAGTAATTTCTTACTAATATTAATTCACTATTTTCTTACTTTTGAACGGTAGTGTAAAACACTCAAGAAACGCTACCAAATAAAATCAAGAATTGTTGAACCATTTTTAAGCCCCTTTTAAGTTTTAACTTTTTTTTTAAAGTCACACCTCCATCTTGACATTGGGTCTCTTTTTCCCAGATTCAAAGTCCTGCTCGTCTTCTTGATGCTCAGTTTTGTGTTCAGCAGCAGGGTAGTCGGGGGGCAAAGCTTGCTGGGAGTGGGTCTCGGCCACGGATGCTGGCGTAGGAACTCTATTATCAACGCTTGCGGCCATCTGAGAGAGCTAATGGACAGACAAACGAGGAAGGACATGAGTTAAGGGTGTCATGGCATACAGCTGCAATCGAGGCTGTGTTTTCATGGCGATCCTCACCGGAGTGCTGGGCTGCTGCGCTTGCACAGAGGTGGGCTGCTGCATCTGCAGGGGGGGCTCAGGCTGGGGCTGCAGGGGCGTGAGCGGCTGGGAGTGGGCGGGGGAGGAGCCCAGGACTGAGGGAGGGCGGGGCAAGCCGCTGGGGATGTGGGTGGGCGTGACGTGGCCCCCGGCTGAGGCCGGCGTGGAAGGCTGGGTCTGGAGTGGCTGTAGGCTAGCGGCAGCTGACGGGGTGGAGGCAGAGGGCGGAGGAGGGGTGGAGCACAGTGTGGACGGGGTGCCCAGAGGGCCCACGGGATTCAGGGTCAGGTTAGTGTTCGGCTGCTGCTGCAGAGGAGAGATGCAGGGCATACCAACTCAGATACAGCACAACAAACTACAACAGAGTACAACAGTCAGGTTCCGGATGGAAAAACTCCATTCATTTTCTCCATAGGGAAATTGATTATTAATTTATAAACCTTTAAAGACAGATCTACTGTGAGCTCCGAGGTTGTTAATCGATGATATATGCCTTTGTTGAACCCATCAGACCGTATTATTTCAACTTATTTTTTTAAAGAATTATGTTTCATAGTGGGAAGCCTGTTGAAAAACTACATTACCCATAATTCTGCAAAGAAAATTCCACCAATAAGTAAGGTGTGGCGAGCAAACTGCGCCAAAAAGGGAACACCAACTCCCATGAAGCACCGCTAATGACGCAATCAAATCGGTCTTCCTATGCTCTCAATTTTTTTTTTATATTTGTATATAATTATGCATATTTTGAACTTAAAATATATTGAACCACTTTAAATAAATATTTTTTATATTTCTCCATTTTTATTTTGGGATTGCAGTTCTTTCCCTCTTTAAAGTCGACGAGTACCCAGTCTTGTACCTTTGTTTCTCTGTTTGAATTTGTAAATTCTTTTAACTTCAAATAAACGTAATGTAAATAATGTTGCGATTCTCCTCATAGCTGATTGGTTTAGTTCATGGCTTATAACTTTTTTTAAATCTCTATGAAAAAATGAATGGAAAAACACTTCTGGAACCAATGCTGCTGAAAAAGTGGGCATGCACTAATGCGCACTATGACAGGAAGACAAGAAGTGTTTGTGGAGGTGAAACGTCTCTTATGAACACCCAAGTTACACCACAAACAATGAAACCGTACTAAAGGTGTGACAATTCTGACTCCTCACCTGTGGGACAGTCTGTCCCGACTGCTGAGCCAGGTTTACATTCACATTCATGCCCCCGGCTGAGGCAGGGAACGGCGTCTGGTTCATGAACTGGTTCTGGTTGGGCGTCTGGCCCACCATGTTGCTAGAATGGCCTCCCATCATTGTTGGTGCCTGTGGCAACCTGGAGGGAGACATACTCATCTGCAAAAGAATAAAGAGAAATTAGAATTGAGCCACAAAAGTATGTTTTTGCCCTAAAAACCAATTTTGACAACATGAATGTTAAAGCTATTGACAAGTTTACTTTCTAGTGAAACAAGCTTGTTTTCGTGAATACAAATCCAAAATGGCGCACACCTCAAGAACAATGTTGACTATAATTACACTTAAAATGAACGGAGAAAACATTTCAATCCAACTAAAAATACACTGTTTTAAAATATAAAATTCCAAAAACTCCAAAACTGGAATCACTTCTTGCTGCTCACCGCTGGAACGGTACCCATGCCCATCTGAGGGGGGTGGGCCATAGGGGACGCAGCCCGAGGAGCTCCCACCGGTGACTGGGACATCTGCATGTTCTGCATGGTCACGGGGTTGAACTGGCCCATTCCTGAAGAGCATGATACAAACACATTTAAAGAAGGTAAAGAGCTTTTCTGTTCAACGGGAGATTGAAGCTTTTGAGTAATTCCTGCGCTACCAGTATGACCTGCCCGACTGCTTTTATCCTACTCAAGTCAACATGAAATGGCATTCACAACCGATTTCATTTCTGTAATATGACATATTTTACAGTGCAAATCATTTTCATTTTTGCTAATATTGCCATAAATGGTTCAATTAAGGTTGCCCTCAAATGCGTTTACTTTTGGCAATTTCAGAAAGGCTGCTGTTTTCAGAGATGAAGTTATTACATTCTGCCTAAAATTTATGCCAAAAAGGAATCACAGACGACATAGAAGAATGTACACAACTGTTCTAGTCAGTGAGATTTTGGGAAAGACACTGAAGACTGGAGTAATGATGCTGAAAATTCACCTTTGCATCACAGAAATAAATGACATTAAAACAGAAACAGTTATTTTAAATTGTAATAATATTTTACAATATTACTGTTTTTACTGTAGTTTTAATCAAATAAATGGAGACTTTTTGAGCATTAGATACTTCTTTTCAAAAACATAACTACCTCAAACTTTTGAACGGTAGTGTATATACACTGCCCGTCCAAAAAAAAAAAAGACACCACCTGGATTTAACTAAGCAAATAGGTAAGAGCCTCCCATTGGATAATTACTGCATGGATGATTATGTTTCAGCTGGCAACAAGTTATTTAACCCTAACTGATGCAATGAGTAGCTTCTCATTTCTTAAACAACCATGTCGGAAGAACATCCTGTATTCGTGGAAAAGATGTTAATCTGTTTCAGAAGGGTCAAATTATTGGCATGCATCAAGCAAAGAAAACATCTAAGGAGATTGCTGAAACTACTAAAATTGGGTTAAGAACTGTCCAACGCATTATTAAAAACTGGAAGGATAGTGGGGAACCATCATTTGAGGAAGAAATGTGGTCGGAAAAAAATCTTGAATGATCATGATCTGTGATCACAAACGTTTGGTGAAATCAAATCGTAAAAAAACAATAGTAGAACTCACGGCTATGTTTAATAGTGAAAGTAAGAGCATTTCCACACGCACAATGCGAAGGGAACTCAAGGGATTGGGACTAAACAGCTGTGTAGCCTTAAGAAAACCACTTATCAGTGAGGCTAATCGGGAAAAAAGGCTTCAGTTTGCTAGGGAGTATAACGATTGGACTCTGGAGCAATGGAAGAAGGTCATGTGGTCTGATGAGTCCAGATTTACCCTGTTCCAGAGTGATGGGCGCATCAGGGTAAGAAGAGAGGCGGATGAAGTGATGCACCCATCATGCCTAGTGCCTACCGTACAAGCCTGTGGGGGCAGTGCTATGATCTGGGGTTGCTGCAGTTGGTCAGGTCTAGGTTCAGCAACGTTATGTGCCCAAAGAATGAGGTCAGCTGACTACCTGAATATACTGAATGACCAGGTTATTCCATCAATGGATTTTTTTGCTGAAACTACTAAAATTGGGTTAAGAACTGTCCAACGCATTATTAAAAACTGGAAGGATAGTGGGGAACCATAATCTTCGAGGAAGAAATGTGGTCGGAAAAAAGTCTTGAATGATCGTGATCAAACGTTTGGTGAAATCAAATCGTAAAAAAACAATAGTAGAACTCACGGCTATGTTTAATAGTGAAAGTAAGAGCATTTCCACACGCACAATGTGAAGGGAACTCAAGGGATTGGGACTAAACAGCTGTGTAGCCTTAAGAAAACCACTTATCAGTGAGGCTAATCGGGAAAAAAGGCTTCAGTTTGCTAGGGAGTATAACGATTGGACTCTGGAGCAATGGAAGAAGGTCATGTGGTCTGATGAGTCCAGATTTACCCTGTTCCAGAGTGATGGGCGCATCAGGGTAAGAAGAGAGGCGGATGAAGTGATGCACCCATCATGCCTAGTGCCTACCGTACAAGCCTGTGGGGGCAGTGCTATGATCTGGGGTTGCTGCAGTTGCTCAGGTCTAGGTTCAGCAACGTTATGTGCCCAAAGAATGAGGTCAGCTGACTACCTGAATATACTGAATGACCAGGTTATTCCATCAATGGATTTTTTTCTTCCCTGATGGCACGGGCATATTCCAAGATGACAATGCCAGGATTCATCGGGCTCAAATTGTAAAAGAGTGGTTCAGAGAGCATGAGACATCATTTTCACACATGGATTGGCCACCACAGAGTCCAGACCTTAACCCCATTGAGAATCTTTGGGATGTGCTGGAGAAGACTTTGCGCAGCGGTCCGACTCTCCCATCATCAATACAAGATCTTGGCGAAAAATTAATGCAACTCTGGATGGGAATAAATGTTGTGACATTGCAGAAGCTTATCGAAACGATGCCATGGCAAATGCATGCCGTAATCAAAGCTAAAGGCGGTCCAATGA